TTTTTCTCCCCACACCCTATATGCCGGGGAAGGAAAGAAATTTGAGAAATATAAACCCCCCCAAATTAAATGTTGCCAAGGTTGAGAAACACTGTTCTAAGAAGCAAGCAGCTGGATTCTTATGAAATAGGATTATCCAAAAAGCTCATGCCAAGGGTAGGCCTAGACCAGCCTTTCTCAACGATGAGGAGAATAAGCTAAAAATAATGAGAATAGAAGTCCAACACATGCAAAAGACACTACCCTGGGGGAAGCTTTACTGGGGTTTGCTCTGAATTGTGATGATCTTCAAGCAGCCTGAAGAGACAGCATGATGCTGTACTTACCTTGTAATGAAAGAGCACAGAAAGGAATCATTTGGCTCTTGCTAGAAATTGTTAATAATGGAAGGAATTGGTTTCCTCACTAATTGAAAAACTTGGGCATTGATCACTTTGCAGTCCCAAACATAGAAGAGGCCCAATCAACGTATGCGCAGGCTTTGAAATTATTGCATATATCCACGCTTTTCATCCAAGACTGTAAAAATAATCAGTCCCAATGCCTTCCCATTTACTGGACCATTATCTTCAATTAGTCTTTTTGAAGCAAAATTTGCTTAGTTGGAGAAAGCAAATAAATAAATGGACAGAGGATTCCATGCAAGGAAGAAGAGATTCTAATGAACGTTGTTCTACGGCCGTCTCATGGTCTTCAAAGGTCCTGCCTATTGGGAAGCAATCCCACACATCCTGGTTCTTTCAAGAAAATTTCCATCCTGTCTGCGTATCATTAGCTGCAGATCTTGTATTTAAAACCGCTAGATGATTCCGACGGCTGCAATTCTAGAGTTCTCAATTAGGGATTTATTTGTTTGTCTGTTTGTTTATTTTAGTCTTTTATAATTAGAAGCATCTGAAAACAGCTGTTGTCAATAGCCTTGTATATAATGACAAGTGTGGGGAAAGGCATTCTGGGCTTCTTGATGGACTTTGCACCCAACTTTCTCAGAATATCAATAAACAAAACTAATGAAAGGAAATCACCTCCCTATTTATCCAATAGGACCATTATCACTCAACAGCGGTTCCAGTGTGCAAAACAGGTTGCAGTCAGTAAGGATTCCAAATGGTAGAGTTTAGTGAAAAAGTAACATACACCAAATATACAGACCCAACAAGATGCATATGCTCACAAGGGGAAAGAAGACCCTTCTGTTTCCTGAGACTTAATTCCAACTACGTGTGCCTAAGATTGCAAACTTTACAGACAAATGGAAGGAAAACTTATTTAAAAGTTTATTTTATTATTTAAAATGGGCCGTGAGCGATATGTTCAAGATTTGCTGCAAATATGCAATCTGTAGTTTTCATAATTAAATGGACTCATTACTAGTGGCTCACTTGTGCTGGGACTTTAGATGTTATCATTATGAAATGCAATCACTTTGAATAGCATTGGCATTCTGCCCTTCTAGCATCATCCACCCTAATCTAAATGGGGATTTTTGCTGGGGGGAGGAGTAGAATTTTTCACTCCTCCCCCCAGCAAATGTGCAGAATCATTGACAAGCAGACTTGTTAAATAACACAGCTGTCAAAGAGAGAGACAGGGAGCATAAGGGGGGGGGGAAACCCCCATGGGACTAATAGAACAATCCAGTAGCTGCCTCCTCAAAAGTATGTCCCATTGGTTTAAAAAAAAAGATTATTTCCCAGAGATGAAGCCTTGGAGATTAAAGGCCCAATCTACCAATCTCTTAGAGCTGCATTGCTTTGAACAAGGAAGAAATCCGCTGAACTTTTTTTTTTTTTTTTTAACAAAAATGGAGGATCTTTGCAATGCATGCATTATGTAGCTACAAATTCAAGTACAGATGAATACCAAGAAGCGGGCGTAATCCTTTTTTATTATGAATTTCAGGCAGCAGCAATTACATGAACATGTACAATTTACATGCATAAGATTGCACTGTTAATCTGGGGTGAGTTTCCTGGAGAACTGTTCAACATTAGCCATCCAACAAACACAAGATGCAACATCACCAAATATATAATTTTTGCACTTGATATATAAACGTTAAATAAAACAGAAATTAAACCAACTTAACCTGATTAAAACTTAAGCAAACACTCAAAAGCAGCCCTGAGTCTCTCCCCAAACCTTTATCCTAAATCTGGGGTGGGACCTATGGTGCTCCAGACATCTCTTGGATGCTCCCATAGCTTCTCACCATTAGCAGTTTTGCCTCAGGTTGATGGGAACTGAAATCCAGGGCACTGATGATCCACTTGTTCCCCACCTTTGCAGCAAATATAATCCACTAACTGTGGGCACTTTGTTCCATGTCTTGACCATTAACTGAACAGTGGAGTGATGCATATCTACAGTAGTGAGAGTGTAGCCTGAAGTACTGAACTTGAGTTATATTTGGGTGCATTTCTGTGCTGTAACCTAATCACAAGGAAGATCACAGATATGCAGAACTGATAGTACATTTTGATGACCACTCGATGGCAGCAAGAAGCATTGTAGCAACCATCTAGTGGCCCTCTGGATGTTTGCAGCCCAGATACCGCACCTGTAGCAAT